TATTTATTTACCCTTTATTAAGATAATATCCATAGATATTGGCACAGGTCTTAGAAATCTTTGTTATTATTGAAAGTTATAGTCTAATTTCCCTCTCTTTACCTTTTATTATTTCAGTCTCTCCCAACCCTATATTGTTAGAGTGAATCAAAGTGAAAATCCACTTACTGATTCACCATAACATTATAATTTAACTATTATTAAATTTTTATTTTATTGATTTTATTTATATATTATATAGATTTTTAATATTTTTTTAATATTTTATTAAGTTTTTTTATTTAATTATCTGATTATAAATAAAAAGATTATTAATATAATTTTAAATTATTTAAATAATAATTTAATAGCTTTTAAAATAAATTAATAAATTTTAAATTTTTATTAGAATAATTATTAAAAATTAACTATATAATAATTTAAAAATAACTTTAAAAAATATTTTTATAATATTTAATATTATATATATTAATATAAAATATATTTTTTTAAAAGTTTATTAAAAAATATCATTATTATAATATATTTAATTTAGCAATAAAAATTTTAAATAATAAAATTTATAATAATTATTTCTATTTATATTATAATATAATAAATAATTAATTATTAATTTTATTATTTTAAAAAGATTTATAATTAATTATATATTTAATAAATATTTTTATTTATTTTAGTTAATAAAATTATTAAGTAATAAATTTTATTAATTTTAATATAATTAAATTTTATTATACTTGAAAAAGTAAAATTAAATATCTAAAGAGAGATATGATTATAGATGAATTTTTTTAATTATAATTAATTAGTAATTGAAAAACTCATAAAAGATAATTATAAAAAAGATAACTATAAAAAAATTATTATAAAAAAATATGACTATAGAAAGATTTAATTAAATAAATTTTTATTTTTAAAGTTTTATTATTTGAAATTAATATTTAATTAGATATTCTTTAAAAAATCAAATTATTTTTTAATTTAAAATAATAAGCTTTAACTTATTATTTAAATATTATATTATTAAAATTCTGTAAGATTTTAAGATTTTTTTTAATTATTTATTTTTTTATATTTTGAATTAATTTTTTTTATTAATAAAATTGATATTAATTATAATAATATTTATTAAATATAATTAATAAGAAAATATATTTATTATATTATTATTTTTATTAAGTTTATACTTTCTTTAAAGTTATTTACTAATAATATTTTTAATAATTAAACTTATTTTTGAAAAAATTATATAAATCTTAATATATTCTAAAAATATATAATTAATAACTATAATAAATTCTTATTCTTCTAGATATAGCTTTTAAAAGTTTAATAATATATATAATTTTAATAACTTTTTTTATATTAAATAATTTTGCTTAGCAAATAATAATTTTTTTAATTTATATACTATTAGTTAATTATTTTTATTTTTATTTAATTTAATATTATAATTATAAGATCAAATATTTTAGTAATAATAATAAAAATAATTTAGAATTAAATAATAATAAGACTGATACTAAAATATTATTTAAAAGATAAAAGTCTTATTATGCTTATTCTGTTTATTTATATTTTTGATTTTTAAATAATAAGACTATATAAAATAATATAATAACAGAAAATTCTTTGAAAAATTTTCTATAATAACTTGCTAATTATAAAATAATAAAGTTTTAAAATATTAATAAATGCAAATAATTTCTAATTATAGCAAACTTTTTTTAATTAACTAAAATTTTTTTATTAATATAAAATAATTAAGATATTTTATATATTATTAAAATAAAATATCAATACAATCTGGAAAAATTAAATTTTCTTATATATTAAGATATTATCTAAGTATATAATTATAAATTTATATAAAATATATTATTTATTAAGATTGTAAAAGTAATAAATATATTTATAAGTTTAAAAAGTAAGACTAGGAACTTATTATAATTATAACAAGTTTTAAAAAGCAGTTTTGTGAATATTTTCTTTTTTAATATATTTTTAATAATATTCAATAACTTTAAAAAGTACTTTAATTCAGTTAATTTATTATAAGTTCATTAACTCAGAATAAAAATAATAATTTTTGATAGCAATTTTATTTAAAGCTTTATAATTAAACATATATCTTCTTTCTTATATACAAATAAAACATATGCTCCAAATAATGTGCTAGAACAAATGAAATCTTTTGATATTAAATCAGCTAGTTATTTCTATATAACTTCAAATTCTAAATTTATTTACTTCATGATACTAATGGTTTTTAAAAGGAATCTGTACAAATAATTTCTTCTTTATAATTTATTAACTTTGTTGCATTCTTTTATTAGATTATCAATATATCTCTTTTAATCAATTCATCATTATACATGTACCTGTAATTTGTTTGTAATATTTAATACATTTTCCTGCTGTACTTATTTTTTTGACATGCAATGCATTTACTACAATTATAAGCATAAACTAAACATTCTTTGAAATATTTATCTGCTCGATAATGCCAACTTTTGTTACAATTATGAGTATTTGATTCCATCTTTAATTCACATATATCTAACTCAGGTAACGTTAATAGACAGATGCAATAGTTTTTCCATGATGGAATTTGTCGATGAACAATTGATGTTCGTTGCTGCATAATACATGTACTTATCCTATAAGAAGTTCAAAATTGGATACAAAGAACCTCTTTATAACGAACTTAATTTTTAATTTGTTATAAACGTCAATTCGCTAGACATGCATTATGATAAACTTTAAATTGTATATTGATCTCACACGAGTGCATGTACACGTATGTAAAGGTCCTGTATACATATTTTTTTATACAGCATATCGAAATTTTATAAAGTGTCTTTCTCTTATAGTGCTATTCCATCTCTTTAAGGCATCAAAAGTAAAATCATTTGAGTTTAATATGAAAACACCATTCGGAACATTGATCGTCAAACGCGCACTCGGATAAGAATTCACTACTATAATTAAGTATCGACAAGCTTCATAGAAAAGCCCTAAGTCATCAAAGGCACCATAACCTGCCCGTCAAATATCGGGATTTTTGGAAGATTCAAGAAAAGCCAAACTTTTCACGCTAGATGAAAAAGGTTCCTTTGTCTTCTTTGGTTTGTAATAAATCTACATGAGGTTAAATTATCCTCTTGTAGATTGGCCATGATTTCGCCCACCGTAGCACCCAAGGTGGTAGATAATAAATTTGTAAATTGTAAATTATTTTTAATCGAAAGGTTGAGTCAATTTTTATAACATTGTATAACTTGATCACTAATAATATTACAATAAATTTGTAAATTAGCAAGTGCCAATTGATAATTTGCAAGAAATTTTCATTTGATCAGTAACTAACTTTATTTAATGATGATTCGGCCAAGAAAATGTTAATTTTTAGAGAGCAAATTATAACTAAAATTCTACAGAAGGACATTTTTACTTAAGGTTGAAAGTTATTTGTTATAGTAAAATTTTTCATTATTCGAGTTATTTGCCATTTTTTTGTCCAGAGCTGACCAATAGGTTTTACGTTTTCTAAACAAGTAATTTATTTTCTAATTTTAAAGCCATAAGTCACATTTTTATGAGGGCTAAAAGACTATTCAAAATCATGAGGACATATATTACGATCATTTAAAGAGATCTTACTGTCTGTAAGAATAAAATTGTAGAATGGAACTGTATGTATTTAATGATAAACACATAAATTTATTAAATAAAAAATATTACAAATCGTTTGCAAACTTGATCTTATCTCACTAACCAATATACATGTATATTAAATAAAATTATATGAATATATCAGAGAACGGGTTTAATAAAAATATATAAATATTATATTAATTATTGGTGGTTGTGGTGGGATCTCATTTTTCATGGTGAGTTCTCATTTTACGGGTTTTTTGGTAGTTTTCGAGTTTTTTGGTGGTTTTCGAGTTTTTTGAGTGCTTTTTTTTCAATTACCATGAATTTGGCGTTTACATGGTGGCATTCGATGTCTTGTTCAATGTGGTGGTGTTCATGGATCGGTGGAATTCGATTTATTGGTGACGTTCGACGGGACTGTGGAGTTTAATGGGTCGGTAGAGTTCGATGGATCGGTGGAGTTCGATGTAGTGGTATTCATTTTGGTGGGTATGATGGAGTTGCAGTTTGATGTGATTGTGGAGTTCGATTGATTGGTGACGTTCAATGGATCGGTAGAGTTCGATGTGACTGTGGAGTTCGATGGATCAGTGGAGTTCGATGTAGTGGTGTTCATTTTGGTGGATATGGTGGAGTTCGATGTGGTGCAGTTTGTGGAGTTCGATTGATTTGTGACGTTCGATGGATCGGTGAAGTTCGATTTATTGGTGACGTTCAATGTAGAGTTCGATGGATCAGTAGAGTTCGATGTGACTGTGGAGTTCGATGTAGAGTTCGATGGATCGGTGGAGTTTGATATAGTGGGTATGGTGGAGTTCGATGTGGTGCAGTTTGTGGAGTTCGATTGATTGTTGATGTTCAATGGATCGGTGGAGTTCAATTTATTGGTGGCGTTCGATGGGACTGTGGAATTCAATGGATCGGTAGAGTTCGATGGGACTGTAGAGTTCAATGGATCGGTAGAGTTCGATGGGACTGTGAAGTTCGATGTAGTAGTGTTCATTTTGGTGCAGTTTGATATGATTGTGGTGGAGTTCGATTGATTGATGACGTTTAATGGATCGGTGGAGTTTGATTTATTGGTGGCGTTCGATGGGACTGTGGAATTCAATGGATCGGTAACGTTCGATGGAACTATGGAGTTCAATGGATCGGTAGAGTTCGATGTGACTGTATAGTTCGATGGCTCGGTGGAGTTCGATGTAGTAGCGTTCGACGAGGGCGCAAGTTTATCAGCTATAATGATCAATAATAATTGTCTTACTTGAGTTAGTCAATACTTTTTGCTATAATAATAAAAATTACATACCTTCACCAGCAACATAGATATCTCCAAAGATAACAAACACCACCAGAAAATACAAAAAGATCTTTAAAGTAGGATTCATTTTTTATCTTTTAAATTCTTGTTAGTTTTTTAGTTTTAAAAAAATTGGTTTAGACCTCGTTTATTATAATATTTTAGCTTTTGACTCTTGTTAGTATTTATTTTTAAAATTCATTAGACCTAGCCTCGTCTATTTATAAGAAAATGCTAATTTGGTTTATTCATTGCCTCTATTTCGTACACGATATCTACAGTATAATGTGTGCTAGGGAAAAAGATTCAAACACTGCCGTCTCATTGTAATCTGGAACCATTCAAATACAAGCACATTATTCTGCTTGACAAATAATTACATCGTATAGAGAGAGATGCGTGAATGTCAGGAAAAAAAAATACAGGAACTTCCGAATAAGTCAACATAACTATAGATAAAGTACCCATAAAGTATGTGTTCAAAGAGTCTGTTTGTCGCAGGAAAAGGAAAGCAAACAGGCTTTTACAACTTTCTATATATACAGTTGCGTGCAATATGTTGTAAATGGCACTTTTTTATGGGTTTATATTATGCAAGCAATTTTCATATGAAAATAAGAAATCAAGTAATTTCATTATGGTTGAAATTTTGATTAATCTTCATTATAAAGATGTATGTCAATAGAAAAAGATCACTTTTATATCGACATGGTTGAATTCTAGATTGTGTAAGCTAGTACATTTCATGTAAAATGCATGTAAGACAAATGAGAATGAATTCAATTTGAGAAATATTTGATAAAATAAGATTAACGTAACTAGAGTCCAAATCTTTCTAAAAAGTGCAAATAAGCGCTAACTTTTAATAACAACACTATGAAAAAAATCGGTCGGAAGATATCAAGTTTTCATTAAGGATTACATGTATTTGCTGTAGATCGATCATGAATGCACTTTGAATCTAGAATTTAAACAAAAAAATATAGTTCTTGAAAATGCTTCAAGAAAACAAAATATTTTTTGAGGTCAAAAACTGAAAAAATCGACCTTTGAATAGTTTCACGCGTTTGCACTCGTGTAAATATCTTGTCTGCAAGCCTGATAACAGCCGACTCTGCTGGAACAAAGCTATAAAAAACCCAAAAAACAATATTCGAGATAAAAAAATTCCACAGTCCCAAATTCTCGATTTCTAATATATTCCCACCTTCCTATATGTGCCATAAACACAATCACAGCAACTTACACTTTTACACTTTTCCCGGAATAATTTGCGGCACTTAGCAGCATAACACTTTTTGGATCCTCATTATGATGATCTTGTACCATTGAAAATGCTGATGCAGAAAAGATTCATGAAAGTTGAAGCTTTACTCTCTTTAGTCTTCTGGTTTGATTATTCCTTTGCCCCTCCCCCGCTAAATTCGTGTCATTCGCAACAAAAGTTCTTGAAGTGGATGACTTGATTTGATAAATTAATACAAAGGTTGAACTAAATTAATTGGATGTTCATTAAATAAATTACTTTCCTTTACAATTTTCAATCTATTTTCTTCAGTCATCTGTGGTCATGAATAATGGTATCTTCTAGCAGACTCAGCCAAAGAAAGAAGGTTTAATTATTGGTTTAATGCTAATATACATTATCTTTACCAATCAAGTACCGCGCAAACTACTGTCGACATGATTTCTATTTCGCGGTCTGAACGGAAAAACTTTTATAATTAATTGTTAGACATATTAAAATTTGACAATTTCATACAAACCAACTATTAATCCATGAATATCTCCAAGAAGTTCTGAAATTTTTGAATTCAAATAAATCATTTAAATTCTCATCTAAATTTTCATTTATTTATCTCATTTACCACGCATTCGATCATTCTTGTAATATGCAGTTGTCGCTCTACTAAACTAAAAATAAAAAATCGATTAAGATCTTCCACCTGATAATACAATCCTTCAATCTGGAAGTCTTCTTCCTCTTTCCATTCAGGTTTCAACGGAACGGTAATCAAACACCCGAGCTGAGGAAAGTAAATGACATTCAGTGTGGATGCGAATTCACTTGGGATTGTTGTAATTTCTCGTGCGACTTCAGACTTTATTGATGAAGAAAATATAAAGTTTGCACTCATTTGCTGAAATAAACATCAAAAATGAGGAATATTTACCAAGAAATCATCCAATCCATTGTACGCTCTCTTCATTCATCGAGTTCCTAATACTTAATTCAAGGTGAATGTTTATATACAGCAGTTTAATATATGAAGGCTAAAAAAAAGCCCATACCTGATCAATGTGCAATTTAACCACAACGCGATTCTCGTTTGCGCTTTCATCGAAATTAATCTACAAAAGTTGTAACGAGAACTTATCTAATATACTGTATAATATTCTGAATTCAAAAAATTCAAGGAATAAAAAAATTGAAATTCGATACTTTGTTGAATATTTGTATATTTTCCGTGGAATTCAATTCTCGAAACGAATTTTAAGATAAGCGAACTACGAATCAAAATCAATTGGATCCATTCACACCATATTTCAAACATAAAAATAAAAGTTACCTGCAACAATGACTGACACTCTGCAATATTCAATGCTCTCCATTATTTTTGGATTATTCTTGACATGCTTCAAGCAATTAGCCAAATGCTCGAAATATGAAGATTATCCGGCTGTAAAAAACATTCAATAGCACAAAATCTCTCTTCGAGGATATTTAAGTTAAGGCTTGGTCGACGAAACCATTGTTTTAAAGAGTTGTTTGCCGACTGGTGTTCTTGTTCTATTGAACACTCCTGAGTTATCGTGGTTTCAATAAAAATTAAAGTTATTGTGGCTCATTGTGATAATCTGGTAGGATTACCGAAAATAGACAACCCTTCTTTTGCTCGAGATCGCGCATGCATATTTGGATGAGACTCGTCCTCGAAGATTTGGAGTGAACTAAATATTTTAAATTTCATTAATTATCGATCAAATGTAAATTGGCGAGAAATCAAATAATAAGAATACCAAAGAGTACTGCCACGGTACTTAGAAGTGACTTTTAAAGTTTCGTCTCCTTTCCCTTTCTTTTCCTTTTTTGTAATGAAGGTTTGAAGAAGGAATTCATGTTCTCGTCTATGTACACGTTAACATTCACGTGACTACAAAAAGCAGGCAAAATTTGAATAACTCGAATTATCTTAGATTAAAAAATGTTAAATGGCGAGCTATTCAAATTTCGCATTTTTCTGCTCTTCATCATTGTATACATTCACATTCATTTACTAAATAAAAACGTAAGTTGATTTGTTTCCCTTGAAAAATCAATCTTTGTTCGTATGGAACTTACAGATTTCATTGAAAAAATATTTCATGTTTTAAATGCTGAATTTTGGATGTACCCTCAAGTCTCGAAATCCCGAATGCAAAACATTCGAATGCCCAAAATCTCGACTCCCAACATCCCGACATTCCCAAAATCACGACATACTAAAATCTCCGATAATACACTTAAAATTATGTATGCGAAATATATATGGGCGTGTATAATAAATACTATACATACATACCTTTACAGTTACCTTTATTTATTTTGTTGGGAATTTTGGTCATGCGGATAGTTTGACGTTCGAGCGGCACCACTGACTAGCTCTTCATAATTTCGTCCTTAAATCATTATAAGCATTGTCAATTTCTTCTTCTAAAGCCCCTCTGGTCTGTTTTCGGACATCTATAACATAGTCCTTCAATCACTTTCGGCAAATTTATTCACGCTTTTGCTCGTCAATATCGTATATTGCAGAATATAAGCAACATTCCTGTATTATTCTTTTACCCTATTGTTAATCTTTAACGTTAAATTTTAAATTTTTTTATCAATAACTTTCGATGGCCAATTAAAATTAGTTTTCAACAAAACAGCTGAACAAATATTTGGTACTATTTTTTAAAGTTCAAAAAAAACTTACTTATATTTCGCAAAATACGGTATACATTATTATAATGGCTCAGAAAAAAAATCCCACGTCAAAACCTTACAATTATCCATTGGCAACCACAATTATGATATAAGATTCAAGTCAACCTTGAGCACGTAATGCTTTACCCGATGTTTTTATCCAACGTTTGACTACAGGCCATCTGCTCTGAAATACGGGGGAAGCGTCAAAATGGAGTTTGGATTTTTACCACCTAACACTGGTCGAACAAAGGTAGTTTTCACCTTGGGTAAAATCATACATGGAATTACTCATATCTTGTGATTTGATTGGTTTGCTGAAAGATGTACAAAAAAATTATTTTTACATCATAGTGATCCCGATCATTTAATTGGTGACCAAGAATCCCACAATTTTGTAAGTTAGATCTTGTTTATGGCTTTATATATCAAAAAGTGAATAGTAGAATTAACATTCCTGACACAGCAGTGCTTGGGTGAAGTGTGTTCAGTGATCAGCGTGTAGGCTATACATATGCAATTGATGATCATGTTGTTTCAGTGGGTTAGCTTACTATGGGTATAGTTTGTTATATCAACGATCAGCATGTATGGTTGCATATGTATAGTTGACGATCGCGTTGTTTCCACACCCGTGTAGCTTACCTGCATGTGCAGCGGTTTGCACAGTTCATTCCTTCATCCTTGAGAGTCTCTGTCATTTTGTTGATCCATCCAACTCACTCGTTTACTTATTTTGATGTTCACTAAAAGTGTCATAATTCAGAATAAACATACATATATATTCTTTATTCTTTATTTAATAAACAAGTAAAATATTTAATTTTTTTACTGAAAATCTTATCTCACGTCATTTCGCTCGAATCTCCGCTAATTTGACTGTGATCAAAATAAACCCAGTATTGAGTTGAGAATAAATATTGAAGAAAAGGTTTAAAAAGTTATTATTTTTTTAACAAAAATTTAATCTAGATTATTTGCACCTTTATCCATTGCATACATGTAAATGGTTTATATGTACATGTTCATACGTACTAACATAAATTGTTTTACGTATAATATAAGTTCAGAATATAAAACATATCCAAAAATAAGGAAGGAATAATTAAAGATAAAAAAAAAGCATTTGAGTGACAATAAAAAGCAGCAGAGCCTGGTCATTCTAATGCGCAATATAATCTTACTCCCTATTATGAAAATAGAAGAGAAATAACTAAAGATAAACTATTAAACCACAAACAAAAATCCGTATACATCATCATCATTAATGATGCCTGACGAAAATATTTTCATGATAATAAATGATTTCGTCACATTCTTGGTCGGCGATGACAATTTGAAACTGGCAAAACCTGTATTGATTATAGTCTAAAGAAATCAAGGTAGCTTTAAATGCTTGGAACCGTCATTCTCTTAGGATTTTTAAAACTATTACATCATGAATTGACAAAGTTATTTTTTTACATCATTGTTAATATCAATATTCTAAAACACATGGTATTCGTAAAATTAATATATCACAATTAAGTCTTCATATATGCGATTAGAATTCTTAAGTATAATATCAATCTATTCATTAGATTACACAATATTCGGGCAGCAACTGTGGTCTGGCCAAACTCTTTATATTTTTGCATGACGTTATAAACTGTAGATTTGGGTCGTCCT